GGCTTTGCCAGAGCAAAGCCTCAGAGGCGCGGCACCCCGCCGCCGCTGCGGCTTTGCTCCCCGTGTCCCTGGTCTGTTGGGGAGGGAGGGCGCAGCTAGTGCGCCCCCCCACCCCCAGCAGACCAGGCTTTTGTTGTGGACCCTGGGGTAGAGCAGCTGGGGTGCTGCCAGGTTGGTCCTCCAGGGACCTACCTGGCAGCCCAGCTGTTCTGTCCCAGGCTTGAGATTCAGCCGCTGTTGAAACTGATCAGTTGCTGATTCCAGGAAGCTGGGGGTAGAGCAATTCTGCCTCCAGCTTCCTGTAGTCAGCCCCTGGTCAGTTTCAGCAGCAGCGGCTGAATCTGGAACCAGTTCCGACTTACATACAAATTCAACTTAAGAACAAACCTATAGTCCCTATCTTGTACGTAACCCGGGGACTGCCTGTACGTTAAGCCACAATAGGGTTCTAATCTTATAATTTTATACATATGGTACACTCATCTTTCAGGATAAAGATTTGTCATGCACATTTCCCATTAAAGCAAATGACACCAACATAAACCCAGGTGCATCAAGAACACAACAGGAATACCAGGACATATTAGGTAAAATGCCCTTCCTGCTACCAGATCATTGATGAAGGTTATAAATAAACCAACTTCGCATCATAAAACATACCTCTGTGGCATTCTGATAGGCTGCTCTTCACTCAATGAATTTTAGTTTCTTTGTTATCTTTATTTGCAGTCCTTTTTCAAGTTTTCAGGTTGATGTATTTAAAATTTTTCAAAAAAGTTTAATTGCAATCTACAAATGCTGCATTCCATTAATCTATCTAGTAATTCAATCAAAATAATCCAATTATTTTGGTATGGTTTGTTTTGTAGACAACCATATTGTTCATTACTCATAATTCCATTGATTGTCAATGGGAATTAGAAGTCTAACTCAGTTAAGTGCTGATATAAGTCTTACTAAACCCTCACCAACATCTGTAGCATCTCTGCAACCTAAAATCCAGTGCACAAAGTAAACATAAACATAGAGAAAAGTGCCTAATGGGATTTTCAAAAGCTCCTAGGTACCTAACTCTCTGTGATTTTTCACTGATTTTATTGGCAGTAAGGCACACAGACATTTTTGAAAATCCCACTAGGCATCTACATTTTTAGGTGCATAAATACCTTAAAATCTGGGGTCCCTGGTCTGTGTTTTGATAAAGCAGACAGCAGTAACTTTAATGGTTTAAATGAACGTAAATACAAGCAGAATTAACTCATGCAGAGACCTGTAAAAGCTCTACTTCAATTACTTCTAGAAAATCTGAATACCTGCCATCCCCATACAATCTAGTCCAATTTGTGGGTGGAGTTTAAATCTGAAAATGATCACATTTATTTAGGAGTCAGAATGTGAATTTAGGAGCTTATCTTGAGGCATCCAGATTTTAACAAAAAATCCCTTTTGAAAATGAAATTTAGGCTTCTAAGGTTCTTTCTGCACTACAGACTTCTGCCAACATAGCTCTGTTGCTCAGGTACGTGAAGAGGTGTGATCCCTGACCCACATGGTTGTACTGGCAGAAGCTATCCCCTAGTGCTGATTCAATTATACCCACAAAACTGTGTTTTTAGTTATATAGTTTGGTTTGCTTATATGGGATGATTTTACCATACAGTACAAAGCACAGATTGGCCAATATAGCAGTGTCCATACTAAGCACAATTTGCCAGTATAGTTCACTGGTATTCCTATATCAATAATCACTTTGAGTGTCAATATGGCCTATGCTATTTACATGCTTCTGAAAATTTTACCCATGGCCCCTGTCCTATGGAATTTGCAAAGATTCAGTATTGCCTCCAAAGTATTGCAACCACATTTCTATCTCCCTCCAGTACTGAGCACATTTAAGAATTCTGGTTTAAATTCTCAGAAGTGACTACTGATTTTAGGTGTCTCAAATAAGGGATCTGATTTGCAGAGAGGATACCTGTTCAATACTTTATGAAAATCAGGCTGTTTCTAAGATTTTTCAGAATGGGTACCCGAGAGTAAGATCTCCAAAATCATTAGTCTTGTTTGAAAATGTCAGGGTATGACTATTGAAATTAAATCAGAATTTATTTGAAAATTGTATATCTGCCAGGTTGTATCTATAAAATTATCTAAAAAGAATACTCTCTCTCTCTCTCTCTAAAGATATGCAGAGGTCCAAATTTTCAACCTCTCTTTATATTTGCATGCACACAAATGGTAGCTAGATATGAGTGCCCTGTCACTCTATTTGCATATACAGTACTGAAATGATAGTGAGCTCAAAACTGTGTGAACTAATGTGTGATTAATGTATTAATATGTTTCTAATTACATTTAGTTGTATAAGAGCTTTTTCTTTCTGTGTTGTATAAGAGTTTGTTTGAATACATGTTTTAAATAAACTGATTTGATTTAGCTGCAGGCTAACTGCAGCGTTTGAGTATTAGTTGTCCTATTTTTTTCTTTGCTTTCTCTGAGGAATTACATAATTTTCTCATTTCTAATGACTTTTGCCTAAATATAAAACTGTGGCATTATTTGCCTCCTTTGGCTCCAGACCAACTAATTTCAAGTGGTTCAAGGCCAAAAAGACGTCTATAATCATATCCCAAAATACTTACTGAAGTTTTTTTGTAAGTGGTTCAACAATAAGTTGATATTCAGTTGAAATTGGTCTTATCCCTAAAATTGTACCTAATGCTCTAAATTAATAAAAGATCACTTGAACATATATGTGGTCTTGTGCATTTTGGATACTATCTGAAATCCATGTGTAGTGGCAATTTATATAATAGCCAAAATATTACTGCGTTTTGATAAAGTGGACAAGAATGACTTTAGTGATTTTAAATGAACTTAAATTACAAACAGGATTAGCCTATGCAGGGACCAGTAAAAGCTCTAACGCAATTTATTTCTAGAGAATCTGAGCATCTGCAGCTTCCATACATTCTAGTCTGATTTGTAGGTGCTGCTTAAATCTGAAGATGAGGTCACTTTTATTTAGAAGTATAAGTGCGATCTTAGGAGCATAATTTTGGGTATTCGGATTTGGAAAATAAATTGGCAACTATCTTCCACACATTCAAATATTCCAATCTACAAGAAAGAATACAGATTTCTTAATCACTGATTACCTTTCTCAATTCTCATATGTCCGAGTTTAATATCCCTTTTCTCACTGATCTTGGAATTAGTAGATTTTACCTCTTTTTTGTTACACTTCTTCCATTCCCACCCAGGTCATCTTGAAGGGCTGGTGCACACTTATCAATTAGGATGACATTTACATATAGTCAAAGATATGAAAAAAACTTCACCCTTGACCAACATAGCTAAGGAGACCTAACACCTAGTGTAGGTACAGCTATTTTAATGAAAGATTCTTCCATCAATATACCTAACTTTGTTTGCAGAAGTGGTTTTTCTACTCCAGTGGAAAAATCCCTTGCACCAGTGTAGGCTACATCTATGCTATGGATATATGCCAGCATAACTGGTATAGTCTCCTTACTGTAGACACTGCCTTAATACAGAATTAATATACAGTAACTAGAAAATATCTGCTTTTTGAATTTTTTATTTTACTGCCTTTATCTTTGTTTTTGACCTGATAGCTTTTGATCATTCACTGGAGAATAGCTAGCAGATGTATTTATTAACACAAACATTTCTTCATCCATTTTAATATGAATGTCTGGCCTTTTCATTAAAACCCACCTTCACATACTCATTATCACTTTTGTTTGCTTAGTTTGTATGTTAGGGAAGAAGAATAGGTTTATGATCATAGGAACTGAGTTATTTTTCTCAGCTCTGCCATTCATGTCAAATATCCTGGAGAAAGTCATTTAACCTCTCTGAGCCTCAGTTTCTCCATCTGCATAACAATAAATTAATAAAACAAAAGGAAAAACTATGTAGCACTTTGAAGACTAACAAGATGGTTTAATAGGTGATGAGCTTTCATGGGCCAGTTTTCTCAGATCATATCCTGGAAGAGAATTGGCATGACCATATATACCAAAGGAATACAATGAAAAAAATGAACACATTATTAAACTGACAAATCAGATTTAGTACAGAAGGTAGAGAGAGGGAATAGCTATTTATGAGTCAATGAATGGCTAATCAGGGGTAATAAGTGGGGAATCTATCTTTGTAATGTATAAGGTAATTAGCATCTTTGTTAAGGCCCATTCATAAAGTGTCAAATTTAAGTGTGAATGAAAGTTCTGAAGTTTCCCTCTGTAATCTGGTGTTAACGTCTCTTTGAAGTAAGATGCATGTAGTAAGGTCATTAAGACTATGTCCAGGTAGGTTGAATGAAAACCAACTAGTTTTTCCTTGTGAAGATGTCTGATGTCTGATTTGTGGGCATTAATTCTTTAGCAAAATGTCTGAGAAGTCTGTCCAATATACATAGCAGAAGGACACTGTTGGCACATGATGGCATAAATTATATTTCTGGATGAACAGGAATATGTGTCCTTGATCATATAACTGACATAGTTAGGTCCAGTGAAGGTGTCACCAGAGTAAATATGTGGACAAAGTTGGCAATGGGGTTTGTTACAAGGGAAAGTTCCAGGGTTGGTATTAATGTGGTATGTCCTGTGGTTGTTGGTAAGAATCATCCTGAGATTAGGTGGTTGTCTATAGGCATCCTACTTCAAAGTAGGAATAAGACCCTCCGGAAAAGGGCACTTTTTCCGGAGGATCGGGGCCAGTGTAGACGCTCTTTTCCGGTTTTTTTAAAAGCCGGAAAAAAGCGGCGGACATTTTTATTTAAATGCCGCGGGGGATATTTAAATCCCCCGCGGATTTCCCTACGACGACTGGTGAAATTTACATGCCCCTTCCGGAAAAGGGGCCAGTGTAGACATAGCCTATGTGTTTGTACAGTGCCTAGCACAATGGGGCCCTGATCTTGGCTGGGGATGTAGATGCTACTGAAATACAAATTAAAGAAACAGGCTCATCTTTTTTACATGTAGCTCCTCCAGATCTGTGAGTCATGCTGTCCCCGCGTTAGCGGAGGCTACTTTTTGTCCTATACTGGAATTATATGCAGGCGTTTCTCTTTTCTCCCCCTTTGCATTTCTCATTGAATTTCTTAGCTTATGTCTTATGCATCTTGACAGGCAAGAGGTGGAACATGAATAATTATCTGATGGCTTATAGGGTGGTTGTCAGATGTACTGTAACATCAGCTGCAATTTGCAGCTCCCAGGAACGAAAGTGAAAGCATCAAGCCAAATCAATTAGTCACAAATCTCCTTCTCCATAGTTTGCATCCTGCATATGTAGGACAGTCAGAAGGGGACATGGGCATGTCTGGTGATGTCTTGAGACAGAGCCAAATTGAGAACAAACCGGGCCGTGCAGCAGTATGAGTCTGATTCTTATTGACAAGGAGGCTTAATCTCTAGCCTATGCAACTTCAACTATGCAAATAGCTTTGCTGAAGTCGACATATTTACTGTGGTGTCTTCTGTGTGGTAAGATCAATGTAGGCTTCTCTCCTCTTGACTCTGACTACTCTTCTCATCCTGGTGGTGCACCGGAGTCTACAGGAGAGCTCTCAGAAGTTGATTTATTGCATCTAAGCAGCCACAATAAATCGACTGCCAGTGGATCGATTGCAACAGTGTCGATCCACCAGGTAATGAAGACAAGCCCTGAGGCTCCTTTACATTGCTCTGGAGCCTTTTTGGAGATAAAAATCAGGCCCATTGACTGTGTGACTGCTCAATGGGGATGGGAGGATTGGTTTTCTTGGTTTACAAGTCTGCTGTTAAACTTAATTCAGTCATGTTTGCCATGTTCTTTTAGACCTTCTGATGAAATAAGTGCAATACTTAGCAGTAACCAATGTGCAGGGCTTGCCGAACCACGGCGAGCCTCGCTCGCCAGCCGCGCTGTCTGGCGATCTGCTCTTCCGGGTTACAATCTACTCACCATAGGCGAGTAGATTGTACTATTTGACGAGCCCTGCCAATGTGTATTTTGCAAAGATTATTGGCTTGTTTTTTAGAAAAAGAATTAGTGATCTGTTTGATTTAGGGGAGATATTCTCTCTTCACTACGTTAAATACAGATATTGCGTTAAATACAGATATTGTAGAGGACTGAGTGCCTTTGAATAAATAAACTGGTGGGACAGCTGGTAAACAACAACAGCTAACACTTTTCTTCTTTATTTAAGCGGAGTGTGTGTCTTTTTGTGAAAGCTTTTGTTGCACAAGCAACTGCTGCATTGTTCTGCATCAGCACTGTTCCTAATCCTGATTTGAGAGCTTCAGCTGACAACTTGACAGGGTGTGACACATTGTATGTTAAAGTGTTTTCAGCTGCATTGACATGATAAATTGTAATGGCTCCAAAAGACCCAAGTCAGTTAACTGTGGCACTGAACCACAAACTGCAAAGAAGAATATACATGACAGACATATATGCAGCATCTATAAGGCCTAGCAGGTCAAATTAATAATTTTCTCTTTTTTTCAAAAGAAAGGGATTTATTCCTTGTTTTAAAGGAACAAACATTTATACTTACTAAGTCGTGGTGAAAATCCTAGCAATCTGCTGTCCAGTCCTGTTGGAGTGTACACCTTGCTAGAATAATATCACTTCCTTCATTTCTATATGGAGGGAATCCTGTACCTCTCTACACCTCCTCTCAGTGACGGAGAGCTTGGAGAGCTTGTCATGATTGATGTATACTCTGTTCACAACAGGAAACAGGTTATCCTGTTGTCTCTCCCTAACCTCCAAACCCTCCTCCATCCCCCCCAAACTCCTTTGTCACAACCTTAATGTTGTTTAAACATATTACACCACATTCATCCCTGGTACAACTCTGTTCCATTGCAACAGGAATGAATTTGGTCCAAATTTGGCCATAGTCTGCTTTGTTGCAAATGCGAGTTGTATTGACATGACTGAGAGCATAATTTGCCTCAATTTTATTACAGTAAGCAAGATTTTATTGTAGGATCATTTATAAAAGTAACTTCTAGCAGAGATACTTTGCTTGTGGTAATATTCAGGGTCACACTCCCTGGACCAAATTCTGTTGATTTACATTTTTGTAACCTCAGTGAACTCAAAGAGATTCCTGAGCAAGTAAATCAGAGTGGAATTGGACTTAATGAGTCAAGCCAATGATGAGTAATTGCACTACTAAGTAGCTTGTTCTGTTGCCTGTCCACCAGTTTTTAAAAAAGCACAAACAAGTATAGCATTTTCTCAGAGATCACCTCCTATGACACAGTCAGCCCTGCCTTTCAAATCTTGTCCTCCCCTAGCTTCTGTGATGCATCCTCTCTAGCTTCTGCTTTGGA